AGTTTCCACGAGAACAGATTGATATTTATCATATCCCATTCTTAACTCTGTTACAGGAGCATCTCGTGAATCACATGCGTTGCCATACTGGTGAACGTCCATTCGTGTGCACAGAATGTGGCAAGAGTTTCCCGCTGAAGGGCAATCTCCTCTTCCATATGCGCTCGCACAACAAGGGCAGCAACGCCGAGAGGCCGTTTCGCTGCGACCTGTGCCCCAAAGATTTCATGTGCAAAGGACACTTAGTCTCGCACCGGCGCTCCCACTCGGACGAGCGGCCGCACAGTTGCCCGGATTGTGGCAAGACCTTCGTTGAGAAGGGCAACATGTTGCGACACTTGCGCAAGCACGCGGCTGAAGGCCCGCCGACTCAAGTTAGCACACCATCGGCCATACCGCAATCCGGTGTTCTGCCGATACCGGCAGCGGCGGCGGTCCTGGTCGGACATCCACTAGCACCACCGGCGCCGCCTGTAGTGCCACAACACACGGTGGTTGTACCGACACCGCCCGGTGTATTGACGTCGTACTAGATCAAGGAGATGGAATATAAAGGAATAATGGGAACGAAAGAGAAAAATGAGAAAAACAAGAGGAGGGGAGGAAATAACTTCTCTGAAGAGAAGATAGAAGATGATATATGCTGTGTATACTTAATATACGACTAAAAAAATGAAGTTTGAAAAAAATGTGAAGATTTATGCGCCATTTATCGTTTCCCTAAGAACTTGGATTTACAGTGGATTTATTGTGCGCCATTTGAATCGTCGGTGTCTCGCGAGTTGCTGAATTGGCGCTGCTCGAGGATATCGCAGCGGATGTAAGCGGCCATCTTCGTTTCATATGATTCGCAGTGAACTCGGTTCGGGACGATGCTTAGAGCGATTGCTCGTGATGCGCGCGTGATACGCGCATTGGAACATTGATGACTGTTTTTTGCGACCACGGCGATGTATTGTCCAAAGTTTGATTTTGCTTCGTTTATGCTTGTACTTGATAAGTATGTCGATTTGTGGTAACGAACATTATAGTGTATTCGTTCCAAATTTGTGCAAGAAGAGAATCAGATTATATCAGAATTTTGCGGTTATACGATGAACATATAATAATTCTTCGTTATACTTTAGTAATCTTCCGTATTTTTAACAAAGAGGCACTAATTATAATATTAGTGACATCTTGGATTATGTTTGTATATTACTTTCATGCATGAGGACGTGTGTCTATGCGTTTGCCAATTGGCCAGGTTTTGGGAAATCGGTGGCACATGTAGTAACGTCAGGTAAAATATACTCGCGAGTAACGAAAATGACTGCTTTGAATATGTATATTTTCCTGCGAAAATATGTATTGGTTAAATCGGTATTTGCAAATGTATTTTATCTGGCATTGAAATCACGTAGATGATTTTTCAAACCCAAATCACGGCGCATATAATGAGGTTTGACCATGATTATAGTCATATCGACCATTGCTTTATATTAACTCCGACAAAATATTGTTACAGACAGCCAACTTTGAAGAATATGGATATCATTGATTATTGCTGGTTGACATAAATCTTTGAACAATTAGCTTATGATGGAATATGGAATTTATAATTTATTATTACGCTGATAAATAAGCGTGTAATATTTATGGCACAATATCACTGTAAAATTACGTTTTTATCGTTACGCATAATTCTTAAATTAAATATGAATAACAAAAATGCAATTCTAAATAAAGAATCAAATCTTATTGTGTCATAATAATATGTGTCATAAAAGTGATGCATTAAATGATAAATTATAAAATTAATATTATATTATAAGTTAGATATTCAAATTTTAGTAGTCGTGATCAATTTGAACCATGTGATTGTCAGTCTTTAATAGTATGTTGTTGGTAACATTAATTATTGACTTTTGCATAATTTTTGTACGAAAGTGTGTCTTTACATTCACGAGAATTTGATTCGATCCGGAGTGGTATTTCGAATTGTAAGTTCTATTTTTATATGTATTTGCATAGACATACTCTGAAAAACATTTACGGAAAAAACAATCTGACACGTTAAAATTGTTTAATTACTTTTAGTAATAATCAATTATAGTAATTCCACAATAATTCTAATATTATTACAACGTTTTCAAAATTAATGTTCACTGATAAAAAAGGAATTACTAATTATATATTCAGTTATGCGATCGCGAAATTTTAAATGTTTATTATTTAAATATATAATATAATTAATATATAGTAAATTAGCAAGCATATAAATTCTGCTCTTATAAAATATTCTGAAATGATAATATTTGAACTAGCATTCAAAAGAGGGGCTATTTTATTTGGAAAAAGTGCATTTTATATTAATCTAGTAATGCGATATAAATGCTTGTGTTCAATCTTTTGATTTAAAGCTATACGCTTAATTTTTAGTTTTAGTATTTATGAGTGCAATATGGTTAAGCCAGATTTTGTTTAAGGAGACAAAGACACTTGCAACAAACAAATACCACTGATACCGGATCAGGTAAAGTTGCGAGATAGCAAACTGATGTGTGAGTCGTGAATATATTTTACGTGTTACCGAAAGCAGATATTCATGATTTAAGTGTCGTTATTAAATTTAATTAATAATGTTTTCTACCATCTATCACGAGAAGGAAGGAACACTATCACTGTAGAGATCATCCTGTAAGGCCATGTATTTCGTATTTATCATTAAGGTAAAAGTAAAGAGAGATAAATAAGTGTGGCAGCGCGGTGCACGATTGTGCGTGTATATCGAATTTTGTGTGAAATTTCAGTTGAAACTCTGAATTTTCAGTTAGGAGAACGATAAGAATAAAGATAAAATCGCGTTCGATCGATCATCGCGCCGTCGCGTTTGCGTTAAATATATAATTATGTATAATATTAATTAGTACGTATCAAATAGGCATTATATAAAGAGGACGACAAATTTATTAATGCATGTTTGTGCGCCACGCGTGGCCCACGTGCGACGAAAGTTGTTCGCAAGTCGGTAGAAATCTAGAACTATATTATATATAATGAATATATATTATACGATAAGTATATTGAAGAAATACAGTTAGATATCATATGTACTATTTAAAATAACGAAACAGTGAAAAAAAAACTTGAATGTACTGCAGGGTCATCTTATACATGAAATACCGTGCGGAATTTACCTACATTATGCGTAGACCTTTGTTATATTCTCGGGAAAAAAAAAAGATAGAAAAGAGAGAGCGACGATAATAGATAAGCATAGATAAAGAGAGAAAAAGGACACGCGCGAATTATCGCGAACTTATACACTTATATGGGATGGACAAATATATATGTATAATATATATACTGCTCTCGTGCTTATATACATTATGTATATATACTGTGTAACATACATAATGAGGTAATCGCCCGGGGAAACGACCAGATCCATTTTCTTTCCTCAGGAAAGAGGAAAGATACTTCCAAGCATACGTCATGTAAAGAAGAAGAAGAAAAAAGAAAAAAAAAGAAACAATTCCTCTACAATTGATGCATCCCGCGCGACAACATTGCTAAGAAGAACATGTAACAAGGAATAAATAGAAATAATGTTTATATGAATTATTATGATTATTAATAATACTATCATACGTTACGAGGATAAAAACTAAGAGTTGATTCATGCTTTTAAGAGGTTTAGTTTCGTGCTTGTTTAAAGATAAAGATGAAGATTAATAGCAAGCAGTCAGATCCGAGTGTTCAGCGTTTTGGGCCGAAGCAAGTTCGCGTTGGCAGTGTCTTCGGGCGTCGTCCTTCGCAGCATTATTGTTGCACCCCCGAGTCGCACCCCCCGACGTTGCGCGCCCTGTAACACGCGAATGCAATAGCGGCCGACGTTTCGGCTCAGAGCGAGGAAAACGTGGTGAAGGAAAGATTAAAAAAAATATTATTTACTTTAGATAGAACAAAAATATGTATAGAATTTTATTATGCACCATTGTAATATTATGTATCCCAGTTGTGACACAATATACACTGGTGTTATGTTAAATGTGGAAATTACGCGTACCAATCTTTTGTTTGTGTGCTCCCTAGTGCCGTCTTGTTACATTAACGATACTTTTATTAACACAAAATTAACAAGTCACATGATTCTCATCTATTTATTACGCGGCTACCCGGATGATATAATTAGACAGTGAAAAAATAGACAAATCCGTTTACAAAGACGTTTTGTATAAACCGGTTGGGAACATAAGACATTTGTGCATGGAAAAAAGCGACGTTGTGTGTGTTTTCCTATCTTAAGAATAAATATAAACATGCTAAATTTTATATATCATTCTCTATAAGAAGACCGTCGCGGTCGCTTTTCTTAAACATATAACATTGCTCATAAGTCGAATTCTGTGGCGCTGTGTAAGTAACAGGATAGTTGTAAATCAGTCTTTGTTCCTCTTCCTCTTTCGTTCTAAATTCGTGCGAATTTTTGCGAGCTGCGTAAAAAAAATCGATTTTTTTTCTCTTCAGACGAAAGGAAAATCCATAAGTTCGATTGTTACTCACCCTCATTAATGAAGAAATTGGCGAAATATTGAGATACCACAGTGGCGTTATGCCCATGAGGAATATTCTTCCCAGTCACCCATTCATAGAGATTCTTCTCCGGATGGAATTGCAATCCGTAGAATGGAAACTGCTTATGCTCCAATGTGGAAATGAATTTCAAGCCTTTCTTGTCGCGATTCATCGATAATACATGAAATTCGTCAGTCAAGTTAACACGGCGTAAATCCTGAAGTAGAAAATGGTACATGCACGTCGGCCTATCTACCGTGTGTTGCATTATTTTTTATATAATAATTTGTCATATGATTACTGTTTTCATTTTTTATTTTATCGACACATTTCCACGAAAAATACTTGCCTTTTTTGTAACGCAATAGTGATGGTAATTCGCCGTGACGTTTTCTCTAGCTAAGATCCTTATGACATTCGATGGAGCATTTTTAAACATATTACTATCTCTAAAGTCTGAAAGAAAATTTTTACATATTTGAGGAATGATTTCGTAAAAATATATCATTATACTCTACAAAAAAAAAAAAAATTACAAATATTGGAAAGTAATAAGAGGAATAAAATAAGGAAATAAATGACAGAAAAGAAGAAAACACATTTGAGAGCATCTTTGAAAGAAATGTTTACCACGCATGAATTCCAGCGGAAGAGGTTGACTATTACTGGAACACAACGTCCTATGCTCGACGCGATTCGCCGCGACATATGTCAGGAGTTCAAAACCAAGGCAGATGCCAAGTATCGGGAAATACTCGCCTCTCTCGTTGATTTTTTTCGCGATCCTATCGACAAATATAACAAATATACATTTAAATAATTAGAATCGCTTTCATTGCGTTGCATTAATATTGTCCTTTATTCCATGGTGACCTGTAAATCGCATCGCCTGCATCGGCATATCCTTCCTTCTGAAAGAAATACGTTGCACCTCCCGGCCAGAGAACTCTAGAAAAATAATAACGAATATATATTTAGTGACGAAATTATTTTACAGATAAGATTAGTGATACATACAAAATAAACGATAAAACTTAAGCAGGAAGCATATCATAGCCATGAATTTTTAAATGATAACGAATTTTTAGTAATTCTTAACTTGATTAACCTATTTGCTTACTGTTAAGATTTTTCTATTACTGCTTAAGTTTTTTTATGTGCCACTAGCTTTAAACTATACTAGTACTACATACCCATTGATCTTGCTTAAGATATCTTCGTAGTATGAATCATTCCCACCAATCCTAAAAAAATTAGATAAATTATTTTCTAAACATCAAGAGGTCTTGTATGTAATATGAGAAATTTTAATAAGTATTACTTTCTTGATTTTGCATCTATTTAAATCTCTTTTTTTAAATCTCGAATGATTTATATAACGCATTCAATTAAATTTTCTAATAGTGCGGATTAAAGTTCTAATAGTACGGAGAAATTAATTTTTTTCAAAAAGTGGTGGACAAAGTCTCGAAAAGTTACAGTTATGAAAATTAAAAAGTAGGACAATTTCGAAAAGTCAAAATCCCGAAATTTAGAAAATGTAACCATGTCTCGAAAGATCAATATCTTGAAATTGAGTCGATGAACAGGAACGAATGTAATTAACGATAAAAGTTTTCAATTACCAAATTGGAACTGATCGTGCGCCGGCACCTTCTACAAATTTCACATAGGACGCAGCGATGTAGCTGTGATACTGATTAGGATACTTCTTATTCAAGTTGTAATCTATCTCCTGCGTTAAGATACCTTGAAGAAACACACAATTTTTAACAATTTTCGTCAACATTATTTTTTTCAATTATCGAATATTCGACCGAATAGTCAATGACCAATTAAAATATATACGCTATTTGAGAACGTTAATACAAATCAAAAAGCTATTGAAAAAGGACTATTTATAATTCAACTTTTTGTAATTCACGAAATATTAATTTTCAAACAACTTTTAAAAGTTGGGAACATAGCAATGCTCAGATCATCTTAAAATATTCTTGTTTTTCATGATGGATTTTGTATTTTACCGCGCGTTTTCATCGCGCATGCGCACGATACATACAACTGGTATAGGCACTTTGAAAAAAATCTATGAAATGAGATTTAGTCACGCAGGTCATATTTTCACTCGAACTCAGCATATTGCGATTGAATTTCGTGGGTAAAATTATCTTTTTTATGAGTGCATGATTTCGAAGTGCAGGAAAACTTGCGAGATTAATTCATCGGACCAAGTCTAATTTTAGCTCATTTCCATATGCATTTTCATTTCCGTGTAAGAAAGTACAGACAAGATGATTTTCGCAACATTCCCAATATTTTTCTACAAGAATCCTTTACATTGTTCTTTTATTCTCGCACAGGAAACTCAATGTTTTTTGACAAAAAGAGAGGTCGATATCTTCATCCCTCGGTGAACCCTTTAACCCTTTCCCTTCTGGCTTCCTTACGTCATCGAGGAAAGACTTACCAATAATGGGCCGGTCGTTCACCTTTTCTTCGGTTTTCGCGGCTGTAAAGACAAACGCCGTAAATAGGATCCACACAACATTCATTATGAAGTATTTCTTATAATAAAGAACGCAAGACTTTTTCGTCTGACGACACGAAAGCAGAGTGCGCGCGATGACGTCGACGATCTTAATCGAATAACAATTTTTAGCCGTTTAAATTGAAGTTATTATCGTTATCAGTTATCAGTTATGTACTTGTCTTATCATATGCAAGAACTAGCATAAAAATTAATATTGAACTATGCCCACCCAAGCTCATCGAATTACTCTCAACCGAAGGAGTCGTGCCAATCGCGATGTTTTTTCGTTTACTATTCTCTATTTCGATATTTACAATCCAGAGGGCGTTAGCGTAAGATGATATTTATTCTCCAAGGTATGTTCTTGTAAGACCGGTAATATTTTTTTACTCTTCATTGCATTTTTTCACCTTTAGAACTGTATGGATATTTCGAACGAATGACAATCCTCTTGTCGTAAAGCGAATTCTCTAGAAGATCAGAAGACGACGAGATCGAGTCCAAACGATTGAGAGTCAGCTGATCATTTGCAACTGACAATTGTAGCAACTGAGATGGATGATTACAGCATCGAACTGGATCAGGAGACCGGATTTCACTGCTCGTTGCATTTATTCACCAACATCGTGAACACTTCCGAAATACGCGAGAAACTCATCGCTGGGAAGCTTCGCTGTTGCATGGCGAAAGCCTCGCTCATTACGGATGTTTTTCAGATAGTGGTGGCTGCTAATAAAGCCGCCCTCAACGCTCATCGGGATCGACTCATCACCAAGACTGTATACACAGAAATTCTATTTTGTTTATCCATGTCGAAAAACATATCTCGTTCCTTAATCGAATTTGGTATCAGTGATAACGATAAGGATATCCTGGTGATCTTGTTGCATAAACCCAGTGAGGAACAAGCTATGCTGGAGGAGATCTTAACAAGTGTTAAGGGAAAGAAAGTGCCCATTTCAAAAATACAGGAGTTTACAAATGTAGACCTGGTAAAAAAGACCTACAAGATCGACAAAGATGAACTACGTGCTTCCAGTCTCACTGACGCTGTTGTATCAAGAATTAGTTGTAAGGATTTTATGTTACTTAAATAAGGATCAAAGAGAAAAGGATAGCAGTGCCTGTGACATATACATTATTAATAATGATAAAAGAAACTTTATTTAGAATATGATTTAAGTAAACAGTGGATATGTATAACGTTTGAACAGTCTACACGCTTACAATAGCTTTTTGTAAGTCCATTATATGCCTTGACGTTTTATTTGCGATACTTGTTTCTTTGTAGACTATTTTGCAAAATGTTGCACATATATTTCTTGTACTATAAGAAATAATAACAAAGTACTATTTATGAAAAATCTGATATATAATATACATGAAATGCAACTATAAGTTGTCTAATGCCGAAATACTGGTACAAAATTCTAACATTGTACTCGCATTATACTCATGAACTCATGATTCTGTTATCAAAACAATTCCCTCATCATTTCTTCGTCATATTCTTCAACATCTTCTCTGCAAACATATAAAAAATTCATAATGAATACCTCAAATCTGATAAAATCAATTTGTAAATCAAAACTTGGCAAAACATCTTGCTAGGATTAATATCTGTCATCCAAGTCGCACGAAACTTGCTGCAAACTGGCTGTGAATAAAAAATTGTTAAAGGAAAAAGCCCGGGACGGGAGAGGAATATGTCAGTCGGAAAATACCTTCGTGATTCCTCATTGTTTCTTTTTTTCTTTTGTTTTTTTATTCACTCATAAATAAGGCCAAAGATGCGTAGAAAACAATCGTTATATCCGCGAGGATACGGTACGCGTCAGATCCTGCGGAAGCGAAGTAGTAGATTCAAAGACAGCACCTCTTAAAACGCACACTGAATTCGCCGTTAGTGCTTTTGACAGTTTATTACGAATACCTTGGCAGATTACACATCTCGCAAACTGCTAAGTCCGCGGCATTGAGAAAAGTGCAATGGGAACAGGTCCAGAGAGCTTGGTCGGGGGGCGGATTCACGATCGGCTCGGTACCAACGCCGATCCCTCCACCGCCCTCCACGGTTGCGGAGGGCAATGTCCTTGAACTATTACCGAAGGACGAAGTTTGCGGAGGACGCGACGATGTGGAGGTCACAGATATAAGTTGCTCCACCGTCGCCCAATGCTCCGACTGGGCCCACTCCAGTGCCTTCTGCTTGTCCTTGTTGCGAATTGCTTCGAGCAACGGCAACATGTGGTCCTATAAAATAAAATATCTCAATAATCATTAAAGTCCCACTTATAAAAAAAATGTTATGTAAGTATGTAAAGTTCACTATGTAGTAACAAGAACAAAAATTATATGAAGATATGAAAAAATATCTAATAACTGAATGATAAATCACTTTATAGATAAAAAATAAAAGAAGAAGACGATGTACCTTCATTGGATACATATCCATGGTAGCGATGAATAGGAGCAAATGGAAGTCAGAAGTTGCTTCCAGAAATTGATCACTATTAAACTGCTGCATGTAGGTGCACAATGAGTTGAACTCTTGAACTTGTCCATCGACTTGCCTGAAAAATAGAGACATTAATACATTATAATTCATATTTATATTCACACAATTATAATTGAATTCAAATATGCATATCTATACCTGTTTTCAACTGGAAATGGAGTAATGCTATCATCCGTGAAAAAAGTGAATTGTGGAGTAAGCGGTGTAGATGCAGGTACATCTACCAATAAATATTCTACTGGCAAAGGTCTTGCTAATCTTGTTACTTCGTTTCCATACGTGTCTTTCTCCGAAAAAAAAAAAAATACATTAACATTACAAAAGCTATGCTCTAATGTTATGTAATAGAAGAATCATGTAAGACATTTAAATTTCTTTTCTATCTTATCTCTTTTAAATAAATAAGTATTGGAATGTATAATCATCAATTCTGGGTAAATTTTTAATTATATTTCAATAATTTGCTTATAATGCATTGTAAGATTTATAATTCATGATTTATTACATTAAAATACAGAAGAAAAGATTAACGAAGCTAATCAGAAATTCTTTGTTAGAGCGATGTTCTACATGATCGCTAGTTTCTCTTCGTTCATTTCTAGCAATATAAATTATCTTTATCTTTTTTAGTTTTAAGAATTAAAAAAAGATAAAGAGTAAATTAGCAAGATTAAAATTAATCGTTGGTAGAAATAAACATATATGATTTCTTTTAATAATGGTTTAGTAATTCTATGATTCTATATTCTTTTTTTACAAAAGATGTTTGTAGATATATTCGTCGGTAAGATAAAAAAATACATATTTTTTTAATTTCAGTAATTTTTTAAATTTTCAGTAATTTTTGGTAACTATTGCACAACTATAACAATACATATTTAAGGCATGTTCATATAAAAGATTTTCCATTCGTGAATATCGTCACGTGTCAACCACGCCATCATTTTTTCCACGGGTCTTTCCCGCCGTTTGTATTCCCGTCATAAGGGCAAGTTCGCAATCGGCCATGATGCGGCGCGGAGATCGCGCACACGTAATTGGCGACGCCCTGGTCGCATCTGCACGTGATTGGCGACGTCGTCGTCACGTGGTTACTTGCCACGCACGCCGGACAAAGCGAACGCGACGCAACGCGACGACGCGCAATCATGGCGACGATAACGACGACGTGGTAGGGAGGTAAGGGAAAAGAGACGATGTAAGCCAATAGAGCGGGAAGGGGAGAGAGCCGAGCGGTGGCGAAACCGAGCGAAGGGAACCGAGTTGAAGCGTGACGCGGGCGAAGAGAGGGGGGGATAGAGGGGGAGGGCGAAAAGCGCGTAAGCGTAAGCGACGAGCGCTCGCCGCGGTGTGTGTCGGTCGGTCGGTTGGTCGGTCGGTCGCCGCCATGCTAGTGGTTAGTTTAGTGAACCAAACATCATGATGTGGCAGAACGTTCGACGCCCGTAGCCACGCCGCGTTAACCGGCAACGTTGTCGTTATGTTATCCACAGTAACACTCACGACGTTCGATAAACCTCTATAAACACGTAACGCGAAAAAGTACAAAAAAAGTATATATATATATATACACACACACACCATCTATACATACGTACATACACACGCATACGTAGATAGAAAGAGAGCGCGCGAGAAAGAGGGAATATACGTATATGGATTATAGCAAAGAGAGAAATAAAATAGGTAACCCGCATATACGACTCGACGAAAAGATTTCGCGGTGACAACAACGACGACAGACGACGACAGACGACGACGACGACAACGATAACGACGCAACGAAGACAGCAGCGGCAGCGGCGGCGACGAGGACGACAACGACGACGATAACGACGTTGAAAATCGAGAGCGACAACGGTGCTGCTGCTGCTGCTGCTACTCGTGGTGGTGGTAGTGGTGGTGGTTGTTCCTTGTAGTGGTGGTAGTGGTTGTTGTTCGGTGCGAGCGGAACGCGCGCGGCGCGACGTCAGGTCCGATGTAAATCAAAGCCGCCGAATCGCAACACGGTCGAACGTACGTCGCGCAGTGAGCATCGTCGCGGCACGCGCCGCGAGTGACGAGTGCCAACGGTCAGCCTCCATAGCGCGGCAAGGAGACGTTCGCGAGACGTATACACGGTACGGAAGCATTTGCAGAATCCTGCTGTGTAGAGACCGACAGACAGAAAGAGAGAGAGAAAGGGAGAGAGAGCGCGTGAGAAAGAGTGAGTGAGGAGAGATGGGGGAGGGAGAGCGGGAGAGAATCGGAGCATGTGTGTGTGTGTCGAGCGCTTGTAAGTGCATGTATGCGTGCAAAGAGGAGACCGAGATGGACGAGCGAAGCCGACAAAGAAGGCATACCGAAGCGTGTATTACGGCGCGTGCGAGAGAGCGAGAGAGAAAGTATATATGCAGTATATATATATAT